GAAAGGGGGAAATTGGAGAAGAGGGCTTAGGGTTTGTGAAAATCTGAGGTGAGCTTCGATTTTAGGAGAATCTGGAGAAGAAATTAGGGGTTTATAAAACTTTGAGGTGGAGTTTAAAATTGGGAGATTCTGGAGAAGAAGATTTGGGTTGATGGAAACATGAGAGAAGTAAGGAGAAGCAAGGCCACTGCTAGCTGGTTGGTTGAAAGATAGGCTTTTGCCACCTCCTCAACAACCTTCTTGCAGTTTTCATCATAACCCAGACGGCTGCAAGGGCCTTGGGGTCCTTGGCATCAGAAGTCCACCATTTTTTATCATTTGGAGTGTGTCAATTGCGTCCTTGTCCTCCTGCTCCTTCACATATGTGAAGGCCACAGTTGCACGCTCTTGAGCAAACAGATAGCACATAGCTCAACCAATCCCAGAGTCCCCTCCTGTAATTAGCGCCACCTTCCCTTGCAAACAAAATTATTAGCTACTAATTAATATTAAGCTCTTAACTAAACTGAATTATATGTGATGATACTTGGAGCTTATTGGAGGGCTTGTAATCTGGGTTTGTGATTTCCGAAGTTGCTAGAAAGTGTGGTTTAATATTCCAGTGATTTCCGAGGTGGGTTTTGGGAGAGAAGGAAGAAAAAGCTGACAGTAGCATAAGCATGCACATCTGTGGAAGCGGACAGCTTTGTTGACACGGCCATGCCTGAAATCAAGAGGGGCTTTCTGAAAAACCCTTATTCGCAGAGGTTAAAGATTAAAACGAAGTGGGGCCCAAAGCACATAACGGGTAATGTGAGACAGTTTTTCAAAGATTTGGGGGTATTTTGAGACATTTGCAAACACAGGTGGTAATCTGAGACAAGTTTGAAAGAACAGGGGGCATGTACATAAATAAGCCTTAAAATAAAGGTGGAAAATAAGACGGTCCAGTTAAAAAACTGGAAAAACAGACGTCTACAATAAAACCAACGTCGTATTTTTACAAACATCGTGGAAAGAAAATGCAAAAGACCGTAAAGAAATTAAAAGCGACATATTAAAATGAAAACACTTCGGTTTATTAAAAATTAAATCACAAGCAGGTGTAATAAACATCAACGACAACCTACAAAATAACGCACGATGTATATTTCACTATAACACGACGTTTCAGTATTCCAACCGACGAATTTGTAAAACAGACCATCCACGATTAAAATCTACCGTCATCTAAAGAAGAAATAAAGGCATCTCTGTTCCATTAACTGCCGTGACAGATCTTTTGTACGTCGGTTATTCTCAAATATCTGACGTCTAATTGAACACATACGTCAAGGAGGGTAACACAAGCGACTTTTAAAACACCAACCACGTCAATATCTTGTAGAAACCGACGTGGTAGATAATTACGATGTCATACAATTGAATACTCGTGACGTAGGGAGAATTAACCACGTCCTTTATTTTACAAAAAGCGACGTTCAAAATATAATCCACGTCATTTCTTTTTCTCTACATGCCTTCAATATTATTTGTAACGTCAGCCTTTAACAAAAGTAGTCATGGATAGGACTTTTTACGGCGGTACTTAGTAATATTGTGACATTTTAAACTATTCACACGTCTATTTGTAGAAAAAGCGACGTCTAAATCTAAATTTTAAACGACGATTCTCGTAAGAGATGGACGTGGAATATATTTAAAAAGTCGTTTTTCTTTATAGTTCGACGTCGATAACATTATAAGAGACGTTTTTTCCACCAGTATGTCGTGGTTAATACATTTTACGTCGGTTATTCCGTGATTAATGACATGTTATACGATTTAAACGGTTGTTCTTTTGTATATACGATGTTTTTTAAAAGTTAATTTAGTTAACATAGTATATGTTAACCACGACGGTTTCTATTTTATACAAATCTTTATTCCTTTAATTAGGGACGTGGATAATTATCTGTACGTCGTTTCCTTTGTGAATATTGACATGTAATATAATTTAAACGTCTGTTCTTTTGTGGTTATGTCGTCTTTTATTAGTTAGACGTCGGTTTTTTTATTTATTCAACGTAATATAAGTTAAACACGACCATTCTTTTGTGTTTGTGTTGTCTTTTGTCTGTTAGACGGCAGTTTGTTTATTTATTTAACGTAGTATACATTAACCACGACGGTTTCTATGTTATACAAATCGTATTCCTTCATTTAGGGACGTAGATAATTATCTGTACGTTGGTTTTTGTTTTATTATTGACATGTAACACCATTTAGACGTTTGCGTTTTAATAAAACTGTCATCTATTTTTGTCGAAGTTTTCATTTTACGATATATGTATCGTAATTAGAAGTCGGTTTGTAATTTCTTTTGACGTTGAATGTTTTAACGACGTCAGTTATTAGCCGACGTTGTTTTATATACCAAAAGATGGCGGTCGATTTCATGATGGTTTGAAAACCTTCTAGATGACGGTGGATTCCCTCCGTCTATTTTGATTTTTGTAGTAGTGCCCACTTTGCCCCTGCCATCAACTCTATCCAAAACTCTGTTAACTTTGATAACTTGGCAGGGGTGTTTTTGTAATTCTATACATGTGGATCATTACTCACCAATTAAGTAAGTGACGTGGCAAGTGGAGCCCACCTCCACATAGATTTAAATATAATTCAAATTTAAAAAATTTAAAAATTTAAAAAATCATAAAAATTACCTTTAAAAAATTAGAACTAAATATTCTAATAATGAAAAACACTACCCAACAGGCCCAATCCCTCCCACCCAGATCCCACTTGAAAAATCCTTATTGCCGCCCAAAAAATCCTTCATGAATGGCTCCACAATCACCGTTGGATTCACTGTCACCACCACCTTCCTCTTGCACTTGTCATGGATTTTGAGGCCAGAGAAGGAGATGAAGATGAGGATTTGGATGACAAGGGCTTTGGAGAAGAAGAAGTAGGTGACGATGATGAGGGTGAGGGAGAGGAGGACGAGGCTGCCTGCTTTAATGGTGATGAACATGAAGTAAGGGAAAGAGTTCCGGGAGATGAGGAGCGTGTCGTCGAGGTTGGCGGCGATCGACTCGTACGACACTGTTTCGCTCACGTTGCAAGACTCGATTGATATGAGGGTCTTGATTTAGTTCATTCTCTTTGAGGATTTTTTTGTTTCTTAATTTCAAAAGATAAAAACCAAAATACAATGTTGGAGTTTTGGTTAGAGTAGAGATGGGTTTGGGTCTTTCAGTTCTCCAATTAATGAAATCCATTTTTGTAACCATTTCAATTTTTACTGCAACTTACATGAAGAATATAGAAATGCATTAAACAATAAATAAACAAACAATTAACGAGTTGCTTATCTTGCATTGTTGAATTTGGTGAATTCCAAGTTGGATCTCAGATTGCAGAGCCGCCGCCATCGTGACCATGGAATTAGGAGAAAGTTAGTGAGATGGTGTGTTTTGAGGGGTTGGCTTGATTCCGATACAAAAATAGAGGGGGAGAGAGAAGGATGGAGAGAGTTGGAGAGAAGGAGAGGTCGGGATGGGGATGGGACAGCTGGGGATGAGCGCAGGGAAGGTTGAAATGGGGATAGGGGTGTCGGCTGCTATGGATTTGTTTGTTTTTTAATTTTATTTTGTTTATATGTAGTTTTTTATGTTTTATGTTTTATTTTTAATTATTATAATATTTAATTATGTTTTTGTCTATTTGGAGATAGGCTCCACTTGCCACATCACCCACTTAATTGGTGAGTAATGATCCATATATACAAAATTACAAAAACAACCCAGCCACGTCATCAAAGTTAACAAAGTTTTGGATGGAGTTGACGGCATGAGGCAAAATGGATCACCAAACCTCAGTCAAAGGATGAAAGTGAGTCATTTTAAGTTTGAGAGGGCAAAGTGGGATTTGACCGAAGTTTTAGGGGGCATTAGTGTAATTAAGCCTATTTATAAATTTTACAAAAAAAGCATTTTAGACCTAATGTAAGATTATCATAATTTGTCGTTAAAAGTATGTTATATGGTGTTATTCAAATATGTTATAGCCAAATAATAATATTGTAAGTGATTTGATTTTGATAACTTATAAATTGTGTAGAAGCTGTTGCCATGGTTGATGTTGTGAAAGGAAAAAAAAAAACAAAAAAAACGAATGCTGGAAAAATACTATATTTCATGAGTGTAAACATTATTTCTACTTCGAGAGAGAACAATTTTCGACCACTACCCGTGCGTAGCTTACCAAGAGTTTTTCATTTTGTCTTTTCATTTTTTGTTTTGGTTAAGTAATCAAAGTATTTGGTTTTATTTAGATTCAATTCGATTTAAAGCCTCCTATTTAATTTTGATCACATGACAGCTATTATGCTACTCATGGTGTCGACATTGTGGGTTACGAAGGAGGAGTATGGTGTTCAGGAGCTTTTTTTTCAAAGTGTTCAAGAGTGTCATGTATGAACCCAATTCTTTTTTGAGTAATGATCCTGTTGTTGTCAATTATTGCGTTGTTATTTGCTTCCTTGATAATTAATCAAGAAAATGAGAAAGTTTGTTGAGTTAGGAGAAGGGTAAATCAGGGAATATCTTATTGAAAAAATATTATTTCTCTTTCATAATAATGTTATTTTAAAAAAAATAACTGCAGTTAAACCAATAGACATGTGTCAATTATTACAAAGGATGATAAAAGTACACTTTGAGTTAAAATAGTGAGCAAAAATACTCTCACGTCTTATATTTGAATTCAAGAAGCAAAGTTTTACCCCAAATCTTATCCAGAACTCTCACGTCTTATATTTAAAAAAATGCTCAAACCTATATGTTCACACAGTTTGGGACGTCCATCACTAATTCAAATTCAAGATGTGATCAAGTGATCCAACGGTTGAGATGACCCCAACGCAGCCAAGACGAAACCGCGGAATAGCGCCAAAAAGACACACCCGCTCTCATTTCAAATCAATTTATGATGGACGTGGGCCCACCTTCCACCTAAAGAGCAACAAAACCCAAAACCCAAAACCAATCCGAGTTTACCACTTCACACAGCCACAAAGTCACTACGCTCCCGTAAACTCAACAGTCAACATTCTTCCCCAACCCGACCATTATCAAATCTTCATTTTAGCGAGAAAATTGAAAAAGCCCATCCACTAAAAATTTCCATTTGGAGGGAAACCCCAAAAACCAAAGAAAACCCTAACTCCCAACCCGCCCTCTTTATAAGCCTCTCATCCCATAGTCTCCTCCTTGTACATTTTCTCTTGCACAAGACCTGTTCGACGAAATCGTTCAGAGGCAGAGATAGAGAGAGAGGATGTATGTGGTGAAGAGAGATGGGCGGCAGGAGGCGGTGCATTTCGACAAGATAACGGCGCGCTTGAAGAAGCTGAGCTATGGGCTTAGCAGCGACCACTGCGACCCTGTGCTGGTGGCCCAGAAGGTTTGCGCTGGGGTCTACAAGGGCGTCACCACCAGCCAGCTCGATGAATTGGCCGCCGAGACCGCTGCCGCCATGACCGCCAATCACCCTGACTATGCCTGCGTCAGTCTCTTTCCTTCACCTTTTTCTCTCTTGCCTTTAGACTACTGATCTGGTATTTTGCTTCATTTTTGTGTTTGTCTCTGCGTGTGTCTGGATTTGTTTGCTTTTTTTAAAATTAAGATCGGTATATTGTAGTTCAATTTTCTATTATTTCTCTAATTGCTACAGTTTTTTTTCTTCTATTGTTTTGGTTTTTCTTTTGTGAATCATCAAATGATTGATGCTATCTCTGTTTGGTGGCTGACCATCTGTATTTTGTTCATAGTTGACACCAAGAATTGTGAGATCTGTTGAGTTAATATACATTTGTTTGAAATTTCATGCAGTTGGCTGCAAGAATTGTTGTCTCAAATCTACACAAGAACACTATGAAATCCTTTTCAGAGACGTGAGTTTTACCCAGATTCATTACTATTTTTCATCGTTTATTTCCTTTTGGTTTTCATGTTGATGGAAGTAGGTGTTCTGTGCAGGATCAAAATGATGTACAACCATGTCAATGAGAGATCGGGGCTGAAAGCCCCTCTGATAGCTGATGATGTTTATGAAATCATTATGAAGGTAAATCTCTTTAGAAAATAGTGTTTGTTA